CACATGGCCCCTCCCCCCAAGCGCCCACCGCCCCCACCGGTACTTACCGCTCCGCGCTGCTCCGGCGCTGAGCCCCGCCCTACTCCGTGCATGCGACCTCTCGACCCGGCTTCCGGTACAGTCCACTTCCGCCGGGCGCCGCAGTGCACCATGGGATTTGTAGTCCGGCCTCTGAGTCCGTCCCCTTCCTCCCGCCGCGGGATCAGGACCAATTCCGCCCTCCCGGGTTGGGGGAAAAGGAAGACGGGGCAGAGAGAAATAGCCTTCCACTTCCGCCCGCTTCCAATATGGCCGCTGGCTGGGGGGCCCTGAAAGGCAGCTCACTTCCGCCTCTTTCCAAGATGGCCGCGGGATCATGCGAGAAGCAGATTAAGCCACTTCCGCCTTTTTCCAATATGGCGGCATCGCTAGCCGGGGAAGGGGGAATGCGCCTACTTCCGCCCTGTTCCAAGATGGCAGCCACCCGTGTCTGAAATGGGAAGGAAGCTACTTCCGCTCCGTTCAAAGATGGCGGAGCCTGGGTCAGGGCGGGAAGTTAGTTACCTGCCTGGGCCCATGTAATTAAATCCCGGAGACCCCCCCCCCCGGGGCCACAGCAGGAGCACGGGAGCCATGAGATTCACATGTTACTCACACAGCGTTAATGACATCACACACAGCATCACAGCGCGTCACCGACACACAATGACGTCACACCCAGCATCACAGCGCGTCACCGACACACAGTTAATGACATCATATCCAGCGTCACAGCACATCGCCGCCACACAATTAATGACATCACACCCAGAGTCACAGCGCGTCACCGACACACACTTAATGACATCACACCCAGAGTCACAGCGCGTCACCGACACACAATTAATGACATCGTACCCAGCATCACAGCGCGTCGCCACCACACAATTAATGACATCGTACCCAGCGTCGCAGCACATCGCCGCCACACAATTAATGACATCACACGAGAGTCATAGCACGTCGCCGACACGGCATTAATGACATCATCATACCTGGCATCATAAGTCATCACCGACACAGCATTAATGATGTCATATCTTGTGCAGTACCGTGGGGCTAATTAATATTATCCCAGCTACGTCCTAGCCCTCCTGCTAGCACGTCATTATACGGTCATTATATGGTATCCCGTGCAATGCTCCCATGTTGACAAGACGAGACCCGCTCATGCAAATCTGTACCAGCTTCAAAATCTGTGTGTGTGTCCATTGGTCATCTGTGGCGCTTCCTTCTGGGTGTTGTCTTAATGCTGCCACGTTTATTTTCAAAGAGGGTGTTTTCAAAAGAAAGTGCTCATGTCTAACCCCCGAGGCCGTCAATATGTCTGATCTTCTTTAGTGAGCCCACTTGACAAGTTTTATTGGTCTTGGGTCTGGCTTCTACTCCGAGCAAAAAGACAGTTTCCTTCTACCTTAACTCTCCTTAGGGGCAATAACATTACCCCCAGGCTCAATACAAAGTTTCTATCTAAGGATTTGATACAAAGTTGTATGAAAATAGAGGTTATAGATGGAAAGACTTAATACAAGGTTCTATGAAGAGGCACAATACAAAGTCATGTGAAAATGATACACAGTTATGCGAAAATGCTTAATCCACAGATTTATCTACACCTGGGCCCAGTGCAGCTGGCTCTGGTTTGGGCAGAGGGTCTGTCAGTGGGGTGGGGGTGAGGGGCCAGATGTGTTCATGGCCAACGTGGGGCCCAGAGATGTTCAGTGTCACAAATCAGAGGGGTAGCCGTGTTAGTCTGAATCTGTAAAAAGCAACAGAGGGTCCTGTGGCACCTTTGAGACTAACAGAAGTACTGGGAGCATAAGCTTTCGTGGGTAAGAACCTCACTTCTTCAGATGCAGGACAGATGACCTGCATCTGAAGAAGTGAGGTTCTTACCCACGAAAGCTTATGCTCCCAGTACTTCTGTTAGTCTCAAAGGTGCCACAGGACCCTCTGTTGCTTTTTACAGTGTCACAAAGGCTGCCTGCCCCTAAGGGGATCTGAGGGAGGGGGCAACAGTCACCAGCCCCCTTGGAGCTGCCCTGGGAGGAAGGGAGCAGGGTGGGGAGAGAGGCTCCCTTCTTCTCTGGGCTTGGGGGGGGGGCCTATCCCAGAGCCCACGGCCCCCTGGAGAGAATCCCCACATGCTATGGGGTGGCCTCAATATGACTGCAGCTCAGAGCCCCCCTGGCCTGGACAGGAGCTGGATGGGTGGAACAGGAGCCGTAGCTCTGTTCTGGGGTTCGGGCAGGCATCTGCGCCTCGCAGCCCCCTCCCTGGCTGGGAGCCGGTGGGGTTCTTGTCCGACTGTGACTGCTGTGGGGTGGGGGGTCTGGGAGCCAGGACTCCTGGGTTCTCTCCCCGGCTCTGGAAAGGGCAGGCTGGGGCAGGGAGCCAGGACTCCTGGGTTCTCTCCCTGGCTCTAGGAAGGGCAGACCGGGGCTGGGAGCCAGGACGCCTGGGTTCTCTCTCCGGCTCTGGGAAGGGCAGGCTGGGGCTGGGAGCCAGGACTCCTGGGTTCTGTCCTTCCCATTCACCCCAGCCCCAGAGCTCCACGCTCAGTGCAGGGATGGGACAGATATGGCTCTACCCTGCTGGCAGTGCCCCTGGTACCTCCACAGGCAAGGGGCCGGGGCCACGGCTGGTTTGAACCATCTCTGAGCCCCATCTCCTGCTCCGCCTGGGCCAGCCCCTGGTCTGGCTAACCCCGTGGGCAGTGCCGCTAGCAACACGCCGACGCTCAGCACAGTGGTGGGGCAGCGTGATGCAATGAGATGCCCGTGCCCTGGCCCTGCCGATCCAGCTCCTCTCGGCGATGTTGCTCAGCCCAGCTCAGGGACCAGCTGGTGGGAGGTCTGGGGGTGAGCATAGCCTGAGGGGTCAGGGTGGCGTACTGGAGTTGCCCCATAGCACCGTACACCGTGGGGTTCCCCGGCTTGGGGGTGGGGAGAGCAGGAGGGAGTAACCTGTCCCTGAGAGCTCCCAGGCCATGGGGTGGGGGCTCAGTTCATGGTGTATGGACGGGAAAGAGGTGGTGCTGCGTGGAGCGCTGCTGGGGGCTGCAGGCCCATGGTCCCACTCCAGGTGGGGGCTAGTGGCACCCCATTGGTGGGGAGCACTTTGTCCCCCATTGCCACAGATTGGTATTCCCTTCCCCACTGCCTTAGAGCAGCCCTGGGTCTCAGCCTACAGGTCCCAGCAGTTCCTGCGGGGGCTGATGGACCCCCAGGTGGGGCTTGCTCCTGGGGGCCCTGGCCGGTGAGCCGGTCCTGCAGTGTGCTGGACAGCCCCAGGCACTGCCCCTCCTGACATGGCTGGGCCGGGCTCTAGCAGCCCCCTGTGTGCTGGGGGGGGCGGCTTCGGAAACCCGGGGCCCCCCCCAGCTACGCCCCAGCGGGCGGGAGGGCAGAGCTGGGGAGAAGAGGGTTGAAGGTGACTAGGGGGCCTGGTGGATGGTCTGTGCACACAGCCACCATATCCCCCCCCCAGGGCTTGTATTTTCCTGGGTGCCGCTTCGCTAGTGAAATCCGCTCCGCGAGGCAGGGCAGCTCGCGTGACAGGGGATCTGGGTGTGCCCCCGGCACACGCACGGTCCTTACACAGATCTGTGCACACCGCTCACGAGCTTCCGCCGGGGGGGCCGGGGGCACTGACGCAGCGCGGAGCGGGGCGGGGCCGGGAGGTGAGCGCGGCTCCTCGGGCCCTCCCTTCGCCCCCTGCCCCCCTCCCCTGCCACGTACCCGCCCCGGCTCCTGCCCCGCGTCCCCCCCGGCTCCTGCCCCCTTCCTCCCCTCCGCCGCAGCCCCCCCCCGGCTCCTGCCCTCCTCGGCCCTCCCCGCCACGACCCCCTGGGGCCCTGCCCCCCTTCCCCTCCACGGCCCCCCCGGTTCTTGGCCCCCTCCCCATCCGCCTCCGGCCCCTGCCCCCTCTTCCGCTGCTTACCCCACCCATCCCCCCAAATTTCCATCCCCCCATCCACTGTGTTCCCAGTCCCCCCTCCCCACGATGTGTCTCTGTCTTGCCTTCTCCCTCCATCCACTGCCTCCAAGGGGGTAGCTGTGGGCCGGGGTAGTGGGGGGCTCCTACTGGGGGGCTGTTCTGTGCGTGATCCCCCATCTCTCTCTCTCTCTCTCTCTCTCTTAGGCAACCTCCACCACCTGCTGACTCCCCCTCACCCCATATGGCCCCCCGGCTCTGCCCCGCCCGGCGCCCCTCTGCCTGGCTGCTGCGGGGGCTGCTGGCAGGGCTGGGGGGGCTGGCGCTTGTGAGCCTCCTGGTTGGGGGCACAGGGGAGGAGCTGCTATCGTGGTCACTGGCCCCCTTCCTGGGAGGCGGGGGAGGTTTCCTGCACGCAGACCCCCCCTTGCCTGGCCCCGACTCCTTCCTGCTGCCCAACGTGGACGGCTGCAGGCCCCGGGCCCCCTTCCTGCTGGTGCTGGTGGCCAGCGCGCCGGGGCACACGGCCCAGCGCCAGGCGGTGCGTGCCAGCTGGGGGGGCGCCCACAGGGCCGGGGGGTACCCGGTGCGGACGCTCTTCGCCCTGGGGGCACCGGGCTCAGGCGAGGAGCAGGCCCGGCTGGAGGAAGAGTCCCAACAGCACGGGGACCTGGTCCAGGGCCGCTTCGCCGACACCTACGCCAACCTGACCCTCAAGACCATGATGCTGCTGGGCTGGGCGGCCGCCCACTGCCCTGGCGCTGCCTTTGTGGTGAAGGTCGACGACGACGTCTTCCTCAACCTGCCCGTCCTGGCCCGCCACCTGGGGGCGCTGCCCAGCCCTCACCGGCTCTACCTGGGCCGGGTCCACTGGCGGGTGCAGCCCAACCGCGACCCCGGCAACCGGCACCACGTCCCGGCCTCCGCCTACCCGGCCGGGGCCTTCCCCCCCTACTGCAGCGGCACGGCGTACGTGCTGTCCGGCGACGCTGCCCTGGGGGTGCTGGGGGCTGCCCCCCACGTGCCTCCCGTGCCCCTGGAGGATGTCTACGTGGGGCTGTGCGCTCGCTGGGCTGGCTTGGCCCCCACCCACACGGCCCGCATGGCTGGATCCACCCACTACCCTATGGACCTCTGCTGCTACGGGGAGGTGCTGTACAGCGTGCACCAGGTGGGCCCTCAGGCAATGGCGTCAGCCTGGGCTATGGTGGGGGGAGAAGGGGGAGCCTGTACCCCACTGCATAGGGGGCTGGGGGTGCTGAGGTGCAAGGTGCTAGCCCTGCTGGAGGGTCTGTGAGGGGCAGGGGGGCCTGGGAGCCAGGATTCCTGGGTTCTCTCCCCGGCTCTGGGAGGGGAGTGGGGGCTGGTGGGTTAGAGCAGGGGGGCTGGGAACCAGGATTCCTGGGTTCTATCCTCAGCTCTGGGAGGGGAGTGGGGTCTAGTGCAGTGATTCTCAATGGGGGGCACATGTGCTGTTGGGGTACACCAAGGTCTTCCAGGGGGTGCATTGTCGCATCTAGAGATTTGCCTAATTTTACAACAGGCTACACAAAAGGTATTAGCCAAGTCAGTAC